TACCTATTTGCGCTAATGTACACGCGAATTGCACTCCACTTATCCGATTACAAGCCTTGGCACGCTTGGCAGTCTGTCCCGACCTGTCCCAACGTCATGCTATCACCTAATCGAATCAGCAAGTTGATAGATCAGCTCTAACTTCTAAAAGCATTGACCTATTGGCCCAATCTATTAGAAATTCCACGTAAATTGTAAATTGAACCACACGACAGAATCGGTTTTACAAACAATGAGAGAAGAACTTTCCCAAAGAGACCAAACAAGATTTTAAAAATGTTCGTTAATAGCACGATCTTTCTCACGACCGCTGTAAAATAATTAACATCCTTTGTTCTCTACTGTTTTGACCTCAAAATTTATTTATTTGGCCAGGATAACTTTTAAATAAGTGAAGAGTCCAAACTTTATTAGACCAATATATCTTTCATATAGACTAATGAATATCGATCTCGTGTAAAGAAAGAAAATATTGATATTCGTCATAAAGCACAAAACCGTTCGTTAAAGCCACCAATTAATAATTGAAAAAATATATACCGCGATGCGATATAAACCTTCAGATTTACTATATTGCAATTTAGAAAATATGACGCGTCGTAGTCATTTGTCATATTATTTGCGGAATCTATTAAAAGAGCTTCCGTTTCGATTTCCTCCGGGGCTACATCCGGTCTAACCGCCGCAATCCGCTATCATCGACGGGGAAAGGCGAGTCGGCTCTCCCCGATCGTAGATAAAGTTCTCGGTGTCATAATAAAGTTCTGGCTCTCCAAATGGCACGTATATCCGTAATAAATTGTTCTTGCAAAGTTTCTGGAAGGCGAGCTACATAAATAGTCGCGCGGACGCGTTCCCACCCCGCGTGCGCGCGCGTTCGCCCCCCCCCCCCGTCTCTCGCCGACGTCCACATCCACCCTCTCCTTCTCCCGCCCCTATTATAGACCTCGCTATACTGCTCTTAAAGATGCCTTTCATTGCACCCCCGCACGTCGTACAGAATCCAATCGATGCAACTGTCTCGCTCGCACTACCGTCGAAAAGTCACCCTCTTCTCGCGTCCTTCTTCACAAACGGGACCTTCCGGCGGACTATAGTCGCCCCTTTCCCCTACCTCGCCTAACCCTCCCACAACTTCAGCCTCCTCGCTACGAAAATCTTTTTATCCCGCTCCCTCTTAGCTTCTTATTTTCGTTCTACGATAACGCCAGCACCTTCGGATTCTACACGAGCGACGTCGTTTCGAACTTTGTCTCACTTTCTTTCCGCCGCGAAGAAACTCACGAAACTGTAACCCTCCCTTCGCGAAAACTCGTCGCACCGTCCGCCGTCCCTCTGTCACCCCCGTGTAGCCGACTCTCTTTTGACAATTCCCATTTCTCATCGCTTTCGTTCCGCCTCATTCGCCGTCGGTCGAATCTCTTTTGAGCAACTTTGGTTACTTGCTGTCGTTAGACCGCTTTGAATTAATTGACGCTTTGATCCGCCTGAATCTGAGATGATTCGTCCGCGTTGGCATCAATACACTCGCCGTCAATTAAATTTAGATCGATACGAAACGCGAGTTTCAAGTACAATGAACATTTCGATGAGAAGAAATTGGACATCGAAATATTTCGCGCTTGCTGTAGAACACGTTGTATTTGCCCATAAAACCGTCGATGAATTAATACGTAACAATCCCGTCAATCATATCTAAAGTCATCAAAAATTTTGCTATTGACAGAATAAAAAATAGATTGCACACTGTACATGTGTATTGTTCAATGTACACGGCGTGAGTGCGTAACCACAAACGGCTAAATCTATGTGAAAAATATATTACGCATTCTCTGAACTGCGAGGTGGTTAAAAACCGCGATCGATGATAATAAATCTGACGAAACACCTGGTACCCGAGAAGACAGATACACTTTCGTGTGCTAAGTTCATGGGAGCTGCTTATTCATTTCCGGCTCGAGAGGCTTTGTGCGCCTGCTTCGGTTTACCGAGAAAAGTTTTGCATGCGAGCTAAACTTTGCGCCGACAATTACTCGAGCATCTGAACCGGACGGATAGTTATAACGCTTCTACCCACCGCCTCCTTCCCCGTCCCTCTGCACTTTTACGTTCCACCACCACTCGTGCGAATTTACAAAGAAAAATAGCGATACTGCTACGAGCTTAACGCAAAATTATATCGATGTTTGTGCTAAAAATTACCCGTGATTGTGCGCGCGATTAACTTCAATTAAATTTTCCTATACGATATACCATATAAACTTTCTATAAATTTTGTCTCTCAATAATACCAGCTGTAATACATTACCTTAGTAATGAGATATAATCTCGTCAGCTATTATCTGTTACTATTAGAGCAACGTCTATCATTATATTAATATTATATAAGTTTATATAATAGTATGAGTGGAAAGTGTTTTATAATAGGAAATATATGATGATTTTTGTGCTTTGTATAATATTTCTGATATAATATCATTCGTCTCATGCTTTAATGAATTGCTATTATTTTAAAAAATTTTAATACGACATTATATGATGTTAAAACAAATACATGTAACTTATCTTATTAAAAAAAGGAAGGAATTATTAGCGATGAATATTTAATTCTAATATCATCTAATACCATAGTTGTAAAATTATCGTAGATCGTAAGATATGCAGCAAGATAAATTATTGTCAAATTATTGGTAAAACGAGCCGTTTTTGTCGATATAAAATGAAATTATTTCCAGAAGATATTAAATTTTACTCGCTTTCTACGTAGTGCATGCATATGTACATTATTTAACATGAATTTAAGTGTCAAGTGATAAAACATTTTTTATACAAAACCGCTTTGTGTAAGATTTTGTCAGACTTTGATCAGAACCCTAATAAATTTGGAAAATTATTCAGACTCAACTGCGAATGTAAGTGTGCGACCATTGCAAGAAACGCTCTTCAACGAGCGAAAAAGAGGAATTGAAACGACTTTGAGAAGTAATCTTTGTCCACCCTGTATCGGCACGTAAATCGGGTTACTCGTGATTGTCTTCTTAAAGTAGCGCGACCAAGGAAACCAAGCGGATCGTGAAAGCATAAACATGGCAAGCATAGTCAGCCCGTTCGAGTTACCCCGTTGGAATCGTGCCCCTTCCCCCCGCCCCTTCCACTTGCGCTATGAATTTGATTCTCTCTCACTGCGTTAACCCGAAATTGCCTCAAATATAGGAATGCGAGAGAGAGAGAGAGAGAAAGAGAGAAACGATGCAACATCGATCGGAACGGCTCGTTTTGCAATATCAATGCGAGAAAATATTGCATCCATGTTACTCACCAAATTTACCGTTACTCGCGACCGCCATTTTGCCGATCCTTTTTACGATACCAATATGGCTTGAATATTTCATAACGTATCACGTACTGATGTCATGTACCGATTCACTGAAAGAAGCACATAATTCTAATAGGTGAGAGGAAAAGTCGAGAAACGTTGATGATTGCCGCACTTGATGATAATCGGCAGAATTTGTTATGAAAACTTGCGATTAGCGTACTTACCGTTGGAACTTGAGTCACGCATGAACGAACGGGTAATGATGGGTAGGCTCGGCGTCGAATCGCCACCGACGATTGTCGATGATTTGAACAGCGACATTGCACTCAACACGGCATATTTTGCAATTCGGCACGCGATTCTCGATTCTGCAACACAATAGGGCGGAATTAATGTGAAAACGGCGAGATAACGTAGCACACGAATGGAGCGTGTTGACCGTACCACGAAAGTATTTCAACTGCGTGAAGTGCGGCAAATTCGAATCGCAAATGGCGGCGAAACTTTCGAAAGTTCGAGCGCCTGTGGCGCCCCGCGAGGTATACCGTTACCGGCGACGCGACTCTCCGTTTTTCGCGGATGCTGTTGTCTTTTTACAGAATTTTTCAGTCACGGAAAATACGCAGCGAGCGTGAAACATTATGTATTCGTACGCGTGTATTTTGCGAGCTCACACAATATATGGAATCTGCTCTTTCTTGTCGCTCTGTCTTACACTTTGTGCACGCACTTGAAGCGAAATAGACATATACTTGAAATGTGACGGAGGAAAAGAAAAAGTGATAGAACTTACAAGGAAGTACCGAAAGTGTAGTAGCAAAGAAAGAATTAACCTTCAATATTCGTAGATAGAGTATGCGAATATACAACTGCAATATGTGTCAAACTACAATAAGAGATGAAGGAGTACAGCATAAGCTTCGAGAACATACCGTACGCATTCTTCACGCCGTTCCCGGGATAACATCAGCCTAGCGTGGATGTTGCAGTTACCTGCTGTATGTACCGTCTATAAATGGCGCGAACAGCATGCAGTGGGCTAGATCCGCTTAACCAGTCGCTCGATTATATCCGATTGACTCCGTTAATTCTTTTTTTCATACTTGATACAATCATATAGTACTTACAATGCACTGTGTATTATTTTCATCCTAAATAGTAACCGTCTTTTGTCATAAACATGAAGCACGAATAGCTAGATGCGATGCGTTCATGCTAAATGTTTCGATACTAGAGCCATTGGAGCACAGAGAATGGGGCTATGATAGGCGACCGATGATTATATGAACAAGTCTTTTATGTAATAATTTTCTTTATATTACATATGTATATTCATATTATTAAAAATAACGAGAGGAGGAGAAAACTTCGTTTAGAAATTTCCTTATGTTAATAGCATAGAGACTCTTCAGTCATATCTGGCTATGGTAGTTTCACTTGTTCAACGCCTTCATTGGGCGCATTCAGTACTACAACCGCTCACTGAGCGCTAAGTGAGCTCTTGCATCTGATTGGTATATACCTTTAGATTTAAAAATATACACCAATCAGATGCAAGAGCTCACTTAGCGCTCAGTGAGCGGTTGCAGTACTGAATGCACCCAATGGCTATTTTTAATTTATCACCTGTAGTTGGCGCCATCTGCACACCAATCACAGTCAAATACTGTCCCTTCTCGACTTTCCCTTACCGAATGCAAAACTATTGTTTTCTGAACCATTGACACACATCGAATGCACAAGAAGCCGATGTGTATACGTATACGTTATTAAAATAATACGCGGATTCTACGGAGGAACGTTATTGTTATGTATAATATTAAATAGTTATCATAGCTTTAAAGTTATATTTAATAATACATGCGATAGATATATTTTTTCACAATGTCGTACCAGTTATATAGAAATACGACATTGGGAAATACATTGCAAGAAAGTTTGGATGAATTAATACAAGTAAGTGTATATAGTTTAATAATAATATATATGAGAGGTTAAATTTAGAAGTATGTACTAAAAGGACTATTTTAAAAATATATTTATATTTAGGAAGAAATTTATATATTAGGTCAATAAGACAATGTATTTTATATTACAGTATGGGCAAATAACACCACAGCTTGCGATAAAAGTGTTATTGCAGTTTGACAAAGTTATTAATCAAGCTCTTGCAACCAGAGTTAAATCTAGACTTACATTTAAGGTAAGTCATTTTAATAATATTAATTAGTCTTCCTTATTTGGTCTTATTGCAATTTAGAAGAATATAAAATGAATCTGTTATAGGCTGGCAAATTAAATACATATAGATTTTGTGATAATGTATGGACATTTATGCTAAATGATGTTGAATTTCGTGAAGTTCAAGAGGTTGCAATGGTAGACAAAGTAAAAATTGTTGCTTGTGATGGCAAAAGTAAGTATATTTATAAATGTGGCCTGTGTAATATATTGAACATATTCAAATTTATTTTATATACATATATTTATTCTAATATGTTCAATTTGAATAATCTCCACAAGAATAATAAGTTTTCTTTCTCAGTATGTTTTAGTTCTTTAATAATATATTTATATAATTTATTGTATTCATTTATTTTTCTTAATATGAATTCTGAATGAATAAATATATTCTTTTTAGCATTGGATGTTGAGGGAGCAACAAAGCGATAACAAATTTTGGAATAAGATTTTTATTATACCTTGAACAGGATAACGGGCAATTTTCATAATAAATAGTAATGTTAACAAAATACAATATATAAAAGTAGGCATAAGTTTCTCATTACTTCCCTATAAATGTTAATATAATTTTTATCTAATAATTAATCATACATCAAATACATATATAAAATAAATACATCAAATCTTAGGGAATGTTATATAATTTTGTAGCTTTAGATTCTAAAACTTAGTAACTCAAAGACTTTGGTGCCTAAGTATATTTTTGTGTCAAATTTTTGTAAAATTTACGCGAAATTTATGTAAAACAAATTCAATAACAAGATATTTTAATTAATATCATTCAAATGATGTATATCATCGAAAGTAAATCATCAGAATAAGCATTTAAAGTGGGCATTATACTATTATACAAGATAGATAAAGTTGTAAGAATCTCATGCCTTTAATGTTAGTAGTTGAAAATGGAAAAAAGAACATTGTGAGATTGCTTATAGTACTTTATTTGTAAGTAAATACATTAAGTTTATTATAAGCAGCAATGTACCTATACTTGTTATTGTAAGTACAGTGGCTTCTCTAATATTTTTATTATGTGGCCTGTAATTCAATAAATAAAGTACAAGTACATTTATAACATACTGACCATCCAGAAAGAAGCAAGGCACAACATTAATGATTGCCAGCCCTGCTGAGAATACAGTGATATATTTGCAAAGTAATGCTAATGATTCGGGAAATTTGGGTTGAAGAAAAGAGTACTTTGGTACCCAATCTGATGTATCAACGGTCCTATAAATATCTGCTGGATGACCAAAAAATAACACATCCTTACCTGTTTTCCTTTTTATTTGTACAATCTGTAACATAAAAAGTAAGAAGAAAAAGTATTTCTATTCTCTGATAGCTATTATGAAAGTTTAATACAAATGTCTGATGTAACCTCTTGCAATCACCTTTGTCACATTGTCTAAGGAAGGTTTCATACAATGAGTGTCCTGAGATAAACACTCGTGACTAGCTTGACAAAAATTTTGTGACTGATTAATCATCATCCTTGCTGGGAGGCAAGAATGCGGAGGCAGATGAAGAGGGGCGGCTTGCGGACCTTCGATATATTCAAAGCACAGACTACCACTTGTTTCACTATCAGCTGTACAACAATTTACAACTCCGTTCGTTTTCTGCTTGGCTGGCACAGACTCATCGAAATCCTAAAATAATAATACCAAAACTGAAATTGTAGTTTTTATCGTATCATAGAATATTAAAATAGTTTATAAAAAGTAACATATAAGCAATAGAAATTGATAAATTTCTTCGAGAAACGTTACCTGGATAAACGACTGCCTAACGCAATAACCAGGAGTGGGATGTTGCACTGAGTGCAGTATACAATCATACCAGTCTTCATAATTCCTTACAGGACAACTGTTTAACTTGTATATTACATCGCGTTCTAACAGCCCAGTCGGTCCTAATACAGGTGAATTCTGTGCACAAAGAATATCGTGAAATAAAAAAATTCACTTAATGGAAAATATATTTAGACATTCAAAATATATCACTAACATAATCCTATGATAATACTTACTGGTAAAATAGTCTTTATGTAAACCCCATAGCCAAGACTGTAGAGTGGTGCCCATAACCATGTAGAAAACACAAGGATTGCAGCAGCTAATGTAGCAAGAACGATATTGTGCCAAATTCCTGCACATGTAACACGCAATTGATTTCGTAAAGGTAATGCAACTAGTTGCTCATTGCTTATGTGTACATAAGCTATTGGAATGGTGAAAAAGATTAAGATTCCCAAACCAAACAGTTGCACATCTTCTCTTGCTGCAGCAAGGGCATGTCCTAATTCATGTACTATACTACATATTGCTAATGTTACTACATAATAGCCAAGTTCATTGAATGGAACATCCACTCCTGGTAGCTGAAATATATAAAATTATATAGATGTGCATGAAAGATTATATCAATGATTATTCTGTATGAATAATAATGTCACTGAAAATTATATGTTTTGATATGTCATAATAAAGTAAAGATAAAATTTCTTTCACAATTAAATACATTTTTTTTCTGTATAGAAAACTATTGAGTATGTCTGTCTTGAATATTTTGTTTTCAAAATATTATATTATACCATGGGCTCTAATATAGCGCCTGAATTAGCATCACTTGAAGATCCAGCTAGCCACATGTTAAATGTCATCTTTAAGATAATGACAACAGCTATTGGTAATAATATAATACTTATGATAGCACCAGCATTAAACCAAGCATTCCAAAACCTTGAACGGTCCATTCCCCATTTTATTATTTTGCGATTGAAAGCAGTTGTAAACCATTTTATTCTTAATATCTGAATTTCCAAGCCAGTGTTTTTCAGAAAATAGAAATATGGTAAATGAGAACAGGACTGTAATAATAAATTGCAACATTATTTCATATGCTCCTGATTACAATAAATTTATATCACAATCTAATAAAAGACAAGAATATATGAAATTTCATAACAGAAAAGATCAATATTAATACTACAAAATGATTCTATTAAAATTTAAAGAACTCATTTTCATAACATAAATATTATTCTTTGTAACAAACTATTTGTATCAAACATTTTAGACACAAAGTTATGACAAAAACATTATGTGAAGATTTCATTAGAAACATTAGTTTGATTCACCTTAAAAATAGTATCGAAAAAGAATAGTGCACAATGTATCAGAGCTATCACAATCAGCACACTTAAAGCATCCATTTTCGGTTTATTTTCCGTCGAATTCTTTTCATTACTACATCACTGTGTTTGTTCTGCTGAGTGATTCAAATGTAATCACACCAAAGCAGTCTCCAAATTATAGGATAATTAATTCCCCCTTGATCATTTTGCAAAACTTTTAGTATTCCCACGATAATAAACAGTAAAGTATCAACGATGGCACTTTCAATATGAGATTACGAGACATAGGACAATCTCAATGTTATTATTTTCAATGAAACCTTGCAAACAAAAATTGCTGACTGTCAATAGCGAATAGCTACAGTAATACCAATTTAACCAAAATATATTTCGAATTTGACAAGAGCTCGTGATCTTTCGTTTAATGTCTGGAAAAAAAAATAATTATCATTTTTAAGCCCCTTAAACGCAAAATATCTCTTTAAAAGTCACATTTCTCGAAAAAAATAGAGATGACATAGGGAATTTCATAATGCGGCGCGGGCATCAGTAGTGAAGACGCAACTAAACTGCATATCTCAATTTACATATTTGTTCGCACGTTTACATGCTAATTGCTGTCACTTTCACATTGTTTGTCAGTCGACCGCGTAAAGATTTTAAAGATCGATAGTTTACATTTAATGAATCTTTTAATTACGTGTCACACGCGTAGATAACGCAGTTTAGTGTTGTTATTTGTGTAACATGTCAGATTTTATAGAGAATCAAGTTCAATCACTACTTGCCGGACAGGCTTTAGAAATCGACGACACACATAATGTACACGTTCTTGCAAATGACACAACAGGTATGTCAAATGCCTTGCATAATTATTGTCATAATATTCTTACTAAACTCCAGGGAACTTCTTTTTCTAAAGGGAGATATTTTATATATAAGTTAGCCAATATATGTATTTCAGACGTGAAATCAGGTCAACTGACATCACACATTCCTATTTGCCTGAAGACGGTGACGTATATTGTCGCCGCTGTTGTTATAAATGATCAGGGTGAAATGCTGATGATGCAAGAGGCCAAAGCCTCTTGCAGTGGAAAATGGTACTTACCAGCTGGCAGAGTAGAGAAAAATGAAGACCTGCTCAGTGCAGTAAAGAGAGAAGTCTTGGAAGAGACCGGACTAGTGTTAGCACCGACAACTTTGATACTAGCAGAATGTGCTAATGGTACATGGTTTCGTTTTGTGTTTACTGGCAATATAGTTGGTGGTAATTTAAAAACACCTGATCAAGCAAACGAAGAATCTCTACAAGCATGCTGGGTACGAAACATAAATGACTTGCCATTAAGATCTAATGATATCATCTATTTACTGGACAGAGGCAAAAGTTATGTTTTGAATAAAACTGTTCCCCAACATCCTCAGTTGATGCCTGTAATTAAATCTCATGCAAAACTACTGCTAAGGTTAATAGTCACATCTAAAAAAAGAGCAACGTAAGTTGTATGATATATAATATAAGCTATAAAGTTAAAATAGTTGAATTAGTAAATGGGATAATAAATACATATATTTTATTAACAGGAACAGATTGCATGTACTTCTTTCTGACACAGAAAGATATGATCTACCAACCTGTGAAATAAATCCAAATCGTAGTTTATTGTCTACTCTGCATAGCTTTATGACAGTAAGTATATTAAAAATGTATTGCTTTAAAATCACATGTATTCGCACATAATTCAAGTGTTAAAATAATATCTTGTGTACAGTTTGTAATGAAAATAGTTTCTGCCTCAAAAGAACCTAATCTTATATAAAAGCTTACAAGAATTATTAATTCTTTTAGAAAGGAATCTTGTAGAAATATGTGTATTCATATATCTATTATATTCTTTCAGGAAATATTCGGGAACGACGTAGCGCAACATAAGCCACATGGCCTGTTGTCTGTAGAATTTAGCAGTGGACAAGGAGGAGACGGTTTGTGCTTAACATTATTGGTATCCTTCAAATTGCCTTTGGAAGACGTGCCTATAATCGGAAAGTACATTTGGCATGAACTTTCTGAAAACGTAGCAGAAGCTCTTGAAGCCCGTCTGCCGCGGAACATGACCGTGCCGTTAAAGGTCGTACGTTAATCGTACGTGAATGTTGTATCAAGCAATAACATTTGTTCTACGAAAGTAACCATTATAGCAGAAGACTCAAAAAATCTTTTACTAAAACAATGTTTATAAACTTAACATCATAGTTACCCTAGTCTAAACCAATGACTTTACAACAGATATTAATACATAAATAACATTCCATATTTTTATCTATATAAAAAGCAAAGTAATAATTATTGTATAGGCAGCTAAAATATTAGTTTTACAATGATGATAACATGGGATCAAACTTCTCACCTTAAAAGTATTATAATTCATTCCGAATGAGGAAGAAATTGTGTGCAGTCATTAATGTTATATAAATTGTTAAATATCAAAGTATTCATGATTTAGATTGAATATGTTTAGAAGAATATGACTAAGATTTAGATGTTACATCTGAATCTTAAAAATTGGATAGGTATATGTAATATAAAATATATGTAATTTGAATTAAATTGTACATAATTGTAACAAAAGAAAATTACAAAGATCAAGCTCACTAGTTTATTTAAAAATTTATTATTAAACATTACTACAGATAAAAATGGTTCAGAAATATTAAATAGGATAGAATTTTATATTCAATCAATATAAGCATACAATAGTTACATAGTTTTTAACTTTTATCTCACTTGCAAACTATGTCACTCAATATCTGCTATATGAACGATATAGAAAAATCGACAGTAAATAGCTTAGTGAGACGGATTTTGTAACAATTAGAAATAAATATAAAAAATAGTGATAACAAAAGCTCTAACGAGCAATTTTATCGTCATTAATTTACTAGGTATAAAATTGCACATAGGATTTTGAAATCCAAACGAATATTTAATATTTGTTTCTCATTGTTTGTGTTTTATGTGATCAAGATATGATGATTATAATTGAATTATTTAATTCCAGAGAAATTTAAGTTTGATATTAATTATATTTTTGTATAAACAAGACTAATGAGACGCGATAAATATACAATATATAAATTTTTCATATAAATAAATGTATGATTTCTTAAAATAGTCCTACTATTGTGTCAGATCCTAACTCAATAACTCAAAGATTAAAAGAATCACAGAATCATGCTTCATTCGATAGATAAATATATATAAAACTTAGTTTAAAAATCACTTACTTTTTGCTGTATAATAGCATTATATATATATATATATATATATATATATATATATACATATATATATATATACATTATATATATATATTATATATATATATTATATATATATATATACATTATATATATATATATATATATATTATATATATATATACATATACATATATATATATATATATATATATATATATATATACATACATACATACACACACACATATATATATATATATGTATGAGACTCAAAATGAAATGACTGAAAGTATACTGTTGCCAAATGATATAGAAAGAAAAATAACTTTTTATCTGCCAGTAATAAAAATTGCTCGTTAGCGGATACAATACTGAGCAGAGAAACACTAGATTCAGTATATTCTCTTATTAATCTCTTAATATCTAATAATGACCTTATCTGCTTCAACTGGAAGTAGATGTCAATAATCCTATGGTACTCAACACAGAATCATCTGTACTTTCATTTTTTATAGGAACCACATTATTAGTATTATGCATAGATTTAATGTTGTCGTTGAGCGTCAACGGCATATTATTTAAATAATTTGTAGATGCGGTATCATTAACATCTGTACTGGTATGCAATGTACGCTTTTGCTCATTTTCACAGTCGGTCGTATTTGTATTTGCAGTTGCAGGATGTTTCTTCATATGGGTTGTTAAATTTCCACTGTGATAGAACTCCTTGCTACAGATTTTACATTGGAACGGCTTGATACCGGAATGTATCCTCTCATGTATTGACAAATTGCCACTGTGCCTAAACTCTTTACCACACACGTTACATTTGTAGGGCTTTACACCCGAATGAGTTCTTAAGTGAGTTGAGAGATTACCACTGTGACTAAACATTTTTCCACATATCTGACAACCGTATGGACGTTCACCAGAATGTGTTCTCATGTGAATAGCCAAGTTACCACTGTGTGTAAAACACTTGTCACATTGACTACATTTATATGGCCTTTCACCGTTATGAGTTCTCATGTGTATGAACAAATTACTCTTATGTCCAAACTCCTTGAAGCAAATCTCACATTGGCATTTCAATTTCTTTCCCGAAACAGATTCCATGGAACTCTTGGATGGTCTTCCAAGCCGATTATTTTTCACAGCTGATTGTGCTGTTGATGTCTGATTAATGCTTCTAACATTTTGCAAATCTTGCTGCAATTGTGGTTGTCTGCTCTCTTGTACCATGATGACATTGTTTGTGCTCTGCTGGCATTGATTGTTCATCTGTATTTCATTGTTACCATTTTCTTGGTTAACTTGAAAGAATATACCACTTTGTACATAGTCCTTAGCATATGGTAAGGTTCCACCTTCCTAGAATAAAAATGTATAAAATTAAATATAACAGATAAAACATACATATATAATGAAATGCGCAGATACTTACTTCTACCTGAAACATAGTCTGCTGGTCATGAACTTCATTTTTTGCAGGCATCTGGTTTGATAATTGCGTTTGTTCCCAAAATTGAGATAAATGACGGTGCTTGTATTCAACATCTTGATTGATAAAAATAGGATATGCAGAATTGTCTGAAGTGTTGATTCTGTTACTCGCATTTACATCCTCTACACCTGTGCATTCATGTTTTATCTGTATAGGACTAAACATCTGTAAATGTTTATGAGTTCAGAAAACAACAGCAATTTTTATGTTTATATTAGTACATTATATGACCAAGTAATACATAAAAAATCTTCATTTTTTTTTTTTTTTTTTTTAATAACTATTCGTCAACTATTCGTCTATCAATATTTTATATGTGTACACCAACATTTTCATTTGAAGAATCGTTAACAAGGACATCCAGTCGGGAAAGTATCAATCGCAAATACTCGTAACGTTAACGAATATCACTGAGAAAAATGTCATAATTGACACACGTCCTCTCCGCCGTGAACTATTAACGGAGATAATGCGATAAAACTACTTGTGTGTAGTTGTTATTGTTATAAATAGCCACTAGACGCCCAAATGATTATCCACACGCACCATCAAAAACTACTTGTGCATCCATTGCTCACAAGCATTTTCCAATCTCTTTGTTCCAACGTCATTTTTCTTGGGCATCTGAACGCCACCTACATAGCGTGCATAGACATTATTCGGAGGTGTGTACGAAATTTTACTATACGATGTGAAGAGTATTGTGTGGAATTTTGTGTGTAAACTGACATAAAATATAAATGTATACAAGTTAATGATATAACGATCGTATTTGTAATTGTATTTCTTAAATACACGTACGTTTGACAAATTGTAACATTGCGATTGTATGCCATGTCTAATTCATACTTTAATTTTACTATTTGGCATCGTTCTTCTGGAGCTATGTCCTATAAATATTCATAACACAGTATAACATTGCAGATAATTTGTTTATACATAATGAAGGAAGCTGATTTACACACGATATAAATACGAACTCATCGTGTGTCCTTGTTTACAGTGACAACCGGTATGTTGGGAAAACTACGTCTGACAAAGTATCCACGTTTGATAGTTTCCTGAGATTGTTTACAAATTATTACGATGCGGCGATGTGTTTCTCGTGAATTATAAGTAACAGATGTGTAAAACAGTGCAACATGCCCGGAGGTAGACGAAATGCCGCCAGTCGTACTGGGGCGACTGGTAAATCCGGCGGTACTTACTCCAGTTCTATTAACTCTAGTGGAAGAAGTAATAGCGGAGAAAGAACGATTGGAAATAACACGGATGATAAAAAGATTGACGAGATTTACAACGGAAGATCTCTGGCGCCGAAGCATGTTCCTGTACCCGTGGTACCAGTTGATGGACAATTGACCTTCGAAATTATGTCTTTGGCTATTTCAGTTATGACAACTTGTATGCAACTATTGAATATATACAAAACCGTATGGTGGTTACCACATTCGTATAATTGTTATGCTATGGTATGTTACATCCATTACATATCATTGTATTGATTCATAAAGTTTCACAAAAGCTAATAAGGTTTGAAAAATTCTCTCAATTTTATACATGCTGTGTTTCAGAATTTTTATTTGATAGATCCTTACGTGCTTGTATTTATTTTCACAATTGTGGCGCGTAGAGTAGTTTATATACTATTAAGTCGATCTATTGATGGTTTATCACCAGTTCGATGGTTGCCTACGATCCAGAAAATTATGAGGTATTATACATTATTTATTAATAGATAACTAATATACTTCACACAAATCAAGAATAGTATCAAGATATTTCAATATTTCATGGGGCTTTATTTCAGAATGTTTCTCTCAGTCACTGTAATGAGTATAATCTCCTGGTGTTTGTATCATTTGGCTGAAAAACATGATCTTTTAAAAATGTTTTATCTATGTTATCCGTGCGTATCTTTCTCTTCTATGTCTCAGCCTACAAGATAATATTTATCATTGTTGTGAATGTCTCCATCTTCATATAGCTAACATTGCAGATAAAAGTATATTACTGTATAATGTTGATCTATTTCAGAAGCTTGTCGATATATTTTAGTATGTTTGGAATAAGTTTAACACCATTCTTTGATATCTCCACATCATCCTCAAGTGGAAAAGAGGAACGAAGAACAAAGTATTTATTAGGTAAACACCATTAGAAAAATCTTAGAGAATCTCCATCTACTTCTACTGACTTTTAAAATTTAGTATTGCAACTTTCTCTTCCTTGCACGCAGATAAACCTCTGCACAATTGCTCGTTGAATGCATCAGCCATCAGAGCAGAAGTGTCTACTCTAAAATTTGATTTTAATCGACGAATAAAGCAGGCTTTGTTTGCGTCTTCTGGCACCGCGTTCATCTGTGGTGCCGCCCCCATGATTTTTGCACCGCCGCATTTATACTTTAGCCGACCATGGGTGATACAGCAAGCGATTTTGTTCTGGTTTGGAAGGATGAGTGCATACTTTGTTCACACTTGTCCTATAAGGTCAGTATATCCTTTCGCGACCAAAATAATTCATGAATATTAGAGACTATAACTAACGTACACGTAACGATTGATTTGTCGTTAGATACTACGATGTGTTGCATCGAGCGTCATTACATTTAGGGCGGTGGGTCAAGATACCCAATGAAAATCGCAGTAATCACGCATACAACATTCAACCATGGAATGACGCGGTGCTGTGGCCGCACGGGTCAATCGTACGGCACAATCGGGAGATTTACCGCTCCGAAGGTTTATGCACAGCGGCTGAACCGGGTAATACGGATCATTCCAGATTTCATGTACGTAAGAACCGAGTATCGGTGTATGCAATGAAACATTAAATCGACAAACTTACTAATCACCTTTGTATCTCGACAGACCTTTTTCTACAATCCGACAGTGTTGCTGTGCTCGGTATTGGGAGCACACTTATTATTAGTAGGCGTTCAGTTACTTATTCTATTACGCACAACCGAATGGTGTCAACTATTGTCGATAGCGTTGTTACTTTTTATGAATTATTATACTTTGTTCAAAATCGCTAGGGATTATTTGATATGTTGGAAGGTGTACCGTACTGAACAGATAATACAAGAGAAATCTCAGATGGTTGTAAACCCAGTTGCTCAATAAAATTCAAGTGATATATTGCTGCAATCTTTATTTCATATATAATTTTCGCGTACCCCTATTCATAAAAAAGATAAAAACATCACAATTTTCCATGAAAAAGAAAGTTTACATTTCATATATTTGCGTGATAGTTGAAAAACAAGCTGCGCAGCGAGTTTTTGCATCAACCAGTTGATATATGTGCGGCGAAATTTTTTGAATGTCGATATTCTAAAAGCGATAATATATTAATATGTTAACAATATATTAATAGAAATGTTGAAAAACATAGTCTCAGTTTCTCCGAAAGAAAAATGCGATATCCTGTATCGTTTATGCGGTTATAATTTAATAAGCTTGAAAAGGGAATAATAATAGATATGTGTATATATATATATATATATATATATATATATGCGATTAGTTTTGGAAAAGAGTACGTGTAAATTCTATATAGTCCAATGCTGCCGTTATCGGTCGTTCCGACTTGGGATCTACGTAAGGTTTCATGCGAGCGACACAATAATCGGCCATCTCCTTCGTGAGGTTCTAGAAAAAGAAAATAATCCATCGATATGACGAATCGCGACGAAGGTCGTCGTATTCTATTTTGAATGCTCGAATATCTTGCGACACGCATACTCACGGCATATAATTCCTCCTTCGTGACATACGGCCGATCTGCCGCGGTGATGGCACGGAAAGCGTTCTCTATTTCCTCCGAGCTCTGCACATTCTCCGTTTCCTTGCTGATCATAAACGCCATGTATTCTTGCAACGATACGTAACCGTCCCTGTTCGGATCCACAATGTCTACGAACAATAATACCAAGCGTTAGAAAATTCTAAATGTCTAGAATAAATCGGAGTGATGGAGCATCGAAAGCAATAAAACCTAATATGTTCTCGAATTCCGGATCAGGTTGTCCCTCTTCCATCATGGGCAGATCGTAACCCAGAGCTCTCAGGCATGACTTGAATTCTTGATGATTCAGACGACCGCTCTTATCCTTGTCGAAGTGCTTGAACATCATGGAGAATTCTTTAAGCGCGTCCTCGGACACACCAGACTGGTTTCGAGCTTGAATCTGTTGCTCCAGGTTGTGCTGCATGCGCATTCCCAGCTGGTCCAACTGATCCCACTGCTGCGCCAAGCCCACTGTACTGTGCTCCGTGTAACGATTGTCCAAGATCAGATGTTCCTCCAGGATGGCTCCCAAGTCTTCGATCTTCTTCAGATCTTGACGACGTGCGCGCACTTCTTGAGTCTTTCGCTGTAAGTTCGAAAATTCGTCACTCGTGCGAAAATAACGCACACTGACTGCAAAGTTCGTTCGTGCAAAGATATAATTTTTACAGAAGAAACACGAGTTTGCCAATCGGACCAACAAACCTTAGTGGCTTCCAGTTGCTGTTCCAGAGACCCGGATCCTTCCATCATAGATGTCCTATGATGTATCGATACATTTAATTTTTGACCAAATAACTGATCGGACGAACACTTTCTTCAAGAGCGATACGAACCTTGTTTCCGCGAGCCACTGATGGAACGCGTTGGCATGCTTGGCGAATTCCTTGCGCAATTTATCATTCTCTTCTTGCCGTTGCGCTTCTTTGGCTAGTTCGACGTCGCGCTCCTTGATGATCTTCTGCAAGTTACGCCAAGTATCCTCCAATGCCTCCATTGTGAACCACGTGTACGGATTCGGGCCAACATTGAAGCTCTTAATCTGCCTGTCGAGGGCGGCTAACGCTTGGAAGTCAGCCTCAGCCGAGGACAAGCTTGCCTGGAACTGCGCGTGTGCCTCTCGGAGGGCGCGAATCTCTTCGATGCTGTTACAACGTACGGGATCCGTGAGATCCTCCTCGGCGTTCTCGAACCAAGAATTGAAGGCGGAAGCTTTCTTCGCGAATGTCAGATACAGCTCTTCGATCTGCCGGAACTGATCCTGCATTCTCAACAGGCGCTGCTTCCTCGCGTCCGAGTCGGCCAGAAGCTTCTGCCAGCGAATGATGACGTCCCCGTGGCGCTTCTGGATACTAGGAGTCTGATCGTGACCGGACTCGACGAGCATCTCCTTCAACGAGGTGATGTTCTGGATACCCTCGTGCTCGAACGCGTGAAGACCGGCATCGAAGGTCTCCTGCTTGGTCAGCAGGGTTTGCACAGTCGAGAGATCCCGGCCGAATTCCTCGGAGCGCACGTGAGTCTCCTTGTCGGCAATCCACGACTCTACCACGTCAGCCTTCCACATAAACTGCAGGTAAGCGGAGTTGTCGTTCAAGCGGGTCTTTCTGCGCGCCGCGAGCGCTCCCAGTTGTTCCAGTTTGTTGCGTAGCTGATCGCACCTCTGGCCGATCGCGTCCGCCCGATGATTACCGGCCTTGATCAGCGCCTCGCCGGCCTCGCAGATATCCTTACAACGCTCTCCGTGTGCGGCGAAGTCGGTCTCAAACGCGTCGTGCTTCTTTAATAGACCTTGTACAGCAGCCATCGTGTCACCGTAATCCTCAACAGACAGTAACTGCTGCTTCTCGGTGATCCACGCCTCCTCCTCCTCGACCTTGGCGAGGAATTGTTGGTACGTCAGAGACTCGTCCAGCTTCTGTCCTCGAGTGGCTGCCAACTGCTTCAGCTCCGCCCATGCCTGATTGAGAAGCTTCAGACGCTGCTCGATTTCGGGTACTCCCAAGTTGGAAACGTCCATGAGTTTCTCCCCGGCTTCCTGGACAGCCTGTATGGCTGGCTCGTGACTACCGAGTTCAGCCTCCAGTCTCTTGTGCTTCTTCTTTAAGTTTTGCACGCCGGTAAGATCACGACCATAGTCGTCTGACCCAACGAGAAGCTTCTTCTCCTTGATCCAAGACTCCTCGTCGGCAATATCGCGGAAGAACTGATGCAAGGTATTGGCCTCGTTGAGTCTCGCTTGTCGGTGCGCCGCCAAGTTCCTGATGCGTTCGTAACGCTCATTTATACTCTGTCGCTTCTCCTGAATGCCGGCGGCGTCGAACTGACCGCTCTCGATCAGCGAATCGGCCTGAGCGTTCATGTCCTTGATTCTCTCCTCGTGCGCCTGTATGTCCGCCTCGACGAGCTTGTGTTTCTTCATGAGGTTTTGCACCGACGCCAGATCCTTACCGGCGTCCTCAGACGTGAGCAAGCTCTCGACCTCACCGAGCCAGAAATCAAGATCCTTCACAGCGGCGATGTAGGTGCGTTGCTTGTTGGCTTCCTTCAGCTTCATCGACTTCTCGGTGGTCTTCTGCGTGAGATACTCCCATTGGTCGGCGATAGATGCCAGTCTCTTGAGAACAGCGTCCTCCGAGCCGGCACACTGATGCTTCTCGACCAGGTTACCTCCCATAGCGAGCACTGATTGAATACGATCCGCGTTGGCCGCCAATTCGGCCTCGAAAGCTTGGTGCTTCTGATGCTTCGACTGTATATTGGCAGGGTCTTTGTAATTTTCCTCGGTCGCCAGCTGAAGCTTCTCGGCGATCCAATTCTCCATCTCGTCGGCGTCTCTGGAGAACTGCTGCAACGTCTGAGACTCGCCCAACTTGGAGCGCTTCTCGATAAGAGCGTCCTTAAGGTGTCGCCAACGATCCAGCACCTGGCAGCGTCTCTCATCGATAGGCTTGGCAGCGTAGTGCTCGGCGGCGATCAACTGATCAGCCAGAGTCTGCAAAGTGGCGATCTTCTCCTCGTGAGCGTTGATTGCCTTATCGAAATCTTCGTGTTTCTTGATGAGAGCCTCCACGTTGTCGCTACTGTCAACCGCGTCCGCGCTGCTGAGGAAAGCTTCTCGTGCGCTCATCCAATTCTCCGCCTGCTCGCAGTCCCTGCAAAACAGCTGCAGCTCGAGATTCTGGTCGAGCTGCATGCGTCGTTGGATCCAAGCCTTCTCCAGCTCTTGCCGCGCCTCAGCCATGGACTCGAGCTTCTCCAGTATCTCCACGCTAGCGTAATGGCTGGACTGCAGCAGCTGTTGACCGAACAGCTCAAACGCCTGGAAGGTGCCAGCTCTGGCGTCTATCTCCATTCGGTGTTCCTACAAAAAGCAATTACAAGGTATTCAATGCGGATGATAAATCATCGGCCCGCCTCTGTCGGGTTTCTTTCTCTCTCGTGTCAAATACCACAACCACGTTTGTTAACGTATATGATCAACAACCCATTCGATAGTAGACAAGCTACTACGACAAGCAGAAAGGCAGCAATTACGCTAGAAAGCATTGAAAATACTCAAACTGTTAATAAGGCGGTATTTTCATTGCAAAACATCGATAAGATCAGTCTCTCTCAGCAGCCTCTTGTAAAGAGCAAGAAGAGAAAAAAATAGTAAAAATAAGGAAATCATCAACGAGAGACGGATTGTGCGAGATGATGAGATTAATTTTAGCCACTCTCGCCGGCAAATCCGCGACTTCCTGCTCGATGCATGCTCAAACGTTCTTATACCTCTGGAAGTATGCCGTATCGCGCGTCTATCTCTGCTCTGTGATTCTATAATTCAAATGACTCGTGAACGATGTGGCCCGTTGCGATCGTGACGAATGTACATTGTAAATGATCCGTCGGTGGACATTCGTACCTGGTGACGTTCGAGCAGCGCCTCGGCGCCCGTGACGTCCGAAGCGAGTTCCTCGGAGGCGACCAGGCCCATCATCGAGTTGATCCAAGCCATTAGGTCGCGATAATCGCTGAGGAATCGCTGCAGATCGTAGGAGTCTAGAAGCTTCTCCTTCCTGCTGTTGGCCTTGGCGGTCAGCTGAGTCCACTCCTCGTTGATCTCCTTCTGCTTCGCGTATGTTTGCTCGGCGGTCTCTGGATGCGACTGCATCAGACGGTTAGCTGTCTCGTCCAACTGCTTGATTTTGTCGCCCAATGCGGCCAGGTCTCTCTCGAGACCCTCGTGCTTGCGCTGCAGAGCTTGCACGCTGCGCAGATCCTTGCCGAGGTCGTCGTTGTTCAGCGCCGCGTCTTTCTCGCGAATCCAGTCCTTCGTCTCGTCGACGTCGCGATGGAAGCGCTGCACCTCGTGCGCAGAGCCCAGCTGGTTAGCGCGTTCGGCGGTGAGCGTCTGCAGGCTGGTCCACTTCTCGTTCAGGTCCTGGATCTGCGTTTGTATCTTCAACGCCGCCTCGGTCTGGCCGAGACTCATCAGCTGCACGGCGATCTCGTTCATCTCAGCTAAGCGCACCTCGTTCGCTTTCAGGTCCGCCTGGAAGTCGTCGAACTTCTTCTGCATGACCTCCACCTGCTCCAAGTCCTCGCCCACGTCCTGCACTTGAGCGTGATTCTCTTTGTCTTTGATCCAGGTGGCCAATTCCGCCGCCTCTCTCACCAGCACGTAAGCCTTGGCGGTTTCGTTCAGCTTGTTCTGCCGTTCGCGCGCCAGGCGCAGCAGATCGTCGTACTGCGCCTCGATCTGTGCTTGTCGCGCGGCGATGGAGCTCTGTTCTCTCGCCAAGTTCTGCTGGGATGCGCTCAGGCCCGCTTCGGGTTCCACGCGCTTCACGTATGCTGCTGGCACGAAGCCTTGGCGATCGTTCACCTCGACCTTCCACCAGTCTTTGTTGTTGGAGTTCAAGAGAGTCAAGGTATCGCCCTTCTTCATGGACACCTCCCTGGGTGACTTCTCCGTATAATCGTAAAGTGCAACTACGCACTCCTTGCCGGTGATGTCGACTGTGGGCGTCTCCTGCTGTCTACAGGCCGCGGCTTGGTCCCTCAACGCCGCGATCGTGCTCGCGAACGCTTCCAGATCGCTCACCAGAGCCTCATGCTTCTTCAGCAAAGCTTCCGAGCTGTCCTCGTCCTTGCCGTAATCACCGTTCATCACTATCGGCCGTTTCTCCTTCATCCACGACTCGGCCTCGTTCGCATCAGCGAAATACTGATGCGCCTGAAGAGAATCGTCCAGATCGTTCTTGCGTTGGCGCGCCTTGTCTTTCAGCTGGCCCCAGTGCTCGTCCAAGGCCGCGAGCCGCTGACTGATCTCTTCGGCAGCGAAGTGTCCGTCTTGCAGCATCGCTGAACCCGCTTGGCACACTGCAGCCACCCTCGGCTCATGATTGTTGATCTCCGCCAGGACAGCCTGATGCTTCTTCTGCAGATTCTGCACACCGATCAGATCGCGACCGCGATTGGTAGATGCCGCGACCGGTTCCTTCTCACGAATCCATGCCTCCTCATCTTCGATGTCGCGGAACAGCTGTTGCACCTGAAGAGAGTCTAGTAGTCGTTGCTTCCGCAGGCTCATGGGACGCTGCAGAGCGGCGTACCTGGCCTGCAATTGTTCCTGCTTGGACCTGATGTTGTCGGCGTCGAAGTGACCAGACTTGACGAACTGCTCGGCCGCCTGAGTGATACCGTCGATCCTGTCGGAGTGTGAACCTACGTCCGCTTCCAAGAGTGCATGTTTCTTCTGTAGATTCTGCACGCTAGTCAAGTCCTTGCCGTAATCCTCTGACATGAGCTGCCCTTCCACTTCGGACAGCCACAACTCGATGTCCTCCACCGTCCGGTTGAACTGCTGCTGTTGAGAAGCTTCCTGCAACTTGGCACCCTTCTTCTCGGTAGCTCGCGCCAAGCTCTCCCATAGCGTCACGATCTCATCGGTGCGGGTGCGAATGCGATCGCTGGCGTAGTGGTCGCTGTCGATCAGCTCTTGACCAGTGGCGACCATCTCCTCCATGCGCGTCTTATTGGCGTTCAGTTCCTGCTCGAAGTTCTGATGCTTCTGGACCTTGCCGTTCAGATTCGTCGGGTCCAGGTAACTGTCGTCGGTGGCGAACTTGAGCTTCTCGTTCACCCAGCCCTTCGTCTCGTCGCAGTCTCGCTCAAACTGCTGCAGCTTGTACGCGTCCTCCAGCCGACGACGTCTCTGGGCGGACTTTTCCAACAGAACTGCTCGCCGTTCCAGTAGCAGCTGCCGTCGTTGCGCCACGTCGTCCGCGGCGTAGTGCTCGCCTTCGATTAATTTCCCGGCGAAGTCGTCAAGTACCTTGATTTTCTCCTCTTGAGCCGCTAGCGATTTGTCAAAGTCCTCGTGCTTCTTGATGAGCGCCTCCACGCTGTCCAGAGAATCTCCCAAGTCTTCGTTCGCCAGAAACGCTTCTTGCTTGGCCATCCACGCGTCGGCCTGTTCAGTGTCGCGATAGAACAACTGCAGATCTACACACTGCTCGTACAAGATGCGTCTCTTCTCCCACAGGCTCAAGAGAGAAGATTTGTCCTCAGCGAGGGAGCTCAGTTTGCGCGCCACTTCCTCGGCGGCGTAATGTTTCTTCTCCAAGAGCTTGTTGCCGGCCAATGTGGTGGCGTCGAAGCTGTCCGCTCTGGCGTCGATCTCGCCCTTGTGCTCTTGATGTCTGTCGACCAAGGCCTCAGCGCCGGCCACGTCCTTGGCCAGCTCATCCGCGGAGATGATGGCGCGCATGTCGTTCATCCACGATACCAGGTCGCGGTAATCAGCCAAGAAGCGATGCAGGTAGTAAGACTCATCGAGTTTCAGGCGACGCTCCTTCGCCTTTGCCGTCAGGCTTTCCCATGACTGCAGGATCTCGGCGCGTTTGGCTTGAATTTGCTTGGAGTGGTCTGCCTGATGAATCGCGGCTAGACGATCCGCCTCTGCCCCTAACGTGTACACTTTATCCTCGAGAGCGGCCAAGTCGCGTTCGATGCCTTCGTGTTTTCTTTGCAGGGTCTGCACGCTCGCGAGGTCCCGGCCGAAGTCGTCGTACGACAGCACCACGTCCTTCTCGGCGATCCAAGCCATGGTCTCGTCGGCGTCCCGGTTGAATCTCTGAATCTCATGCGCTCCGAAGAGCTTCTCCTGTCGTAGTATCGCCAGTTGCTTCAATCGTTGCCAGGATTCGTTGAGCTCCTCTTTCCTGCGCAGGATAGTGTCGCGCTCGGGATGGCCGTCCAACAGCAACTTATCCGCCATCTCGTTCACCTCCGTGACTCTGTACTCTTGGCTCGCCATGTCCTTCTGGAACTCGTCGAATTTCCTTTGGAGCACCTCCACATGCTCCAAGTCGTGCCCGAATTCGTCGGTCGTTACGAAAGCCTCCTTATCGTGAATCCAGAACATCACCTCATCGCAATGGCGAATGAACTGTACAAGCACCAAGGCCTGCTGTAACTTCAAGCCTTTATCAGCCAGCCGGGATAACAGCAACTCCCATAGACGATGAAGGTCCTCTGTAAATTATAGATGTACTATATTACTAGTGTACCAACTTATCACTGAGTATATAGTATATTCCTCTTTTACTAAAGCTTGTTAACGTACTATAAAGGTAATACTTAAATAATCTATGAAATCTCTATATAATTCAAAATTATAAGCTCTTTCTCTCAAACCACGATGTTTCAACGCCCCTGACACTCAACATACCTAATCTCTTGCGAATTGTATCACTGTCAAAATGATGTTGAGCTATCATTTCTGAGCCAGTATTATCAAGCTGCACGATGGCGTTTGAATGAGCTGCGACTTCAGCCTCAAAAGCCTGGTGCTTTTGGATCTTTGCCTGCAGATTAGTCGGATCTTTATAGCTCTCATCGGAAGCTGCCTGGAGTTTTTCATAGATCCACCCCTCGAGTTCGTCCGCGTCTCGCTTAAAATACTGAAAGTAGACGGGCGCGTTAGACGGTGAAATCTTAAGAATCATGCATAATTTCAGCACAACATGATTTAGAAGACTAAACACTTCACATACCTGAAAGCGACGGGAGTCCTCAAGCCTTTCGCGCTTGTTACGCGCCTCCACCTTAAAGTTGGCATATCGTCGCAACACCTGCTCTCGCCTATCCTGAATATCTTCGGGATTCTCGAGGATCTTCACCTCCTTGGGCGTGATTTGATCCATGATTGAGAGACAGCAGTAGGTAGGAGCCCACCGACTGTCGTCGTGTCCAAAATGGCCACGAAGCTGTAGGGTGTGGCAAGATGACAATTTGTCGCTGGCTGAATCGATAAACAACGGTGTTGCGCACTGCTACGTCGCCGAATGCACGACCACGGTGATGAATCACCTTATCGATAATACAAAAATATCGGTTGCTGGGTCAACAGTTACTCGTACAATTCAATCACAAGCTCAATCCTTTCCGCTCCGGCCCGTCACTGACTGACACAGTTCCGATATCGTTTCGGGCGTTATACTGTAAGACGTTTCCGAGATCATATACCGTTGGTACCAAGCGCTAAGTGGACGATTGATTATAGCTCGGCGCCAATAATAGCGATGATATAACCGGCCGCCGAATAGACGATTCACCTCGATACTTTGACATCGACTCGTTTTATTTTACAAAATTAATTACTGTATGAGATATCTTTCATTATCATTCATTATTTTTTAGACAACAGCTTTTTGTTCATGTTATTAGAATCATGTTATTAACGCCCGTTTCTGTCAATCGGTGCATCTGACAATAATTGTTGCATGACAAATGAAAGATTAGCCTAATAATAATCTCGTATATATAAATCAAGCTCCTTAACGGCTAATTAAAATGAAAGATCTAATGAACACCGTATGATTCCTTATTGGCTTGTCAAAATAACGGATCAATATCTCTTATACCTCTTATTTAAGCGAGTTCTATAATGTGGTTTGAGTCTCAGCTAAAAATAATGGGTCGATAAAATGTGAGTTTCGGTCAAGTTTTATGTTCTCCTAATAATATGTTGTTAGAAATGTACGTTTAAAGCGCGTAAGGCCGGTATTCATAGTCAGGTCTTATATTTAAAACCGTGTTCAGTTCACTTTCAGATACCCTATAGCCAATGAAATGATTTGTACGGCATTTGAAGATAAACTTAAATATAAAATCCGACTATGAATACCGCTCTTTGGTAAAAATCGTTACTTCTCGTCATTTAGCATTATTTAGCTGGGACTCGACTCCTAAATATTACTATATTGTATCTGTTGTATCGAGCAGTTTCCCTAACCTTCCTATAGATGGCACGAGGAGGTACGTTTGAAACGTACGTTTTAACGGTAGCGGTAAGCTGGAGGCCATTTCGATTTCACATCGGGCGACTCAACATCGGATCGGAGGAACTTTTTATTTTCCCGTGTCATTAAACAACGAATCAGGTAAATTATGATCTCTGCCGACGGGGAATGATGCCCCGACGAGCTGACGATAATTTATATTACTGAAAATATAAAATTCGCGCAATCAGAACTTCGTGGCATTTCGAGCAAAGTTTCGCGAATATTCTTATACGTAGAAACATGTCCGCGCATGTGTAAGCAGCGCAGTACTCGCGAAGAATATCTGATGAATACTTGCCGGAGGATATTTAGATAACATGTTAATTGATCTTTTAACATAATGTAGCTTTAATCCAACTGCGATTGGACTCATATTCTCGGATTAATAATTGCGAGTTTGTTTCAACAAAATTTCTAATTCTGATCGTTGCACGTTTTATCTCTTAATTGCTCTAATTCCTAGTTACATTATTCGGACAAGTCAGTATTTATCATAATAAAATAAACATTTTTCGCAAAACAATATGTTACAAAGAAACATACGCTTGTGATAAAAATCTTTATTTCTCATTGAAAACTGTGGCAATTTTCTTGTGCGGATATCGATCTAAATAAAAATAGTGTGTCTAATTGTAAAAGGTTATTTAGCTTGGACTCAATCCCAAAACATTGTATTCTGCTTTACCGAATAGTTTCCCTTAATCTCAGTACAGATGGCGCGAGGAGCTACGTTTGAAACGTTATCTCAACAGTAGCGGTAAGCTGGAGGTCATTTCGATTTCACATCGGACGACTCAACATCGGATCGGAAGAGTTCTTTATTTTCCTGTGGGATTAAATAACGGGACGAGTAAGCAGTGACGTCTATCGATGAGGAACAATATTTTCCCGACCTGACGGTGAATTATATTACTGAAAATATGAAATTCGCGCGATTAAGACTTGATGACGATTCGAGCGAAGTTTCGCGAATATTCTTACGTAGAAACGTTTCCGCATGTGTGAGCTCAGCGCAATGCTCGCAAAGAATATCCGAAGAATACTTGTTGGAGGATATTTAGATGACACGTTAATTGACGTTTTAACATAATTTAGCTTAATAATTTAATTAAGTATAATTATATGTACGGGATAACACCAAGAAAGATGGCCAAATTTCAGTACCGTATTTTACTCTTTCTAAGAATGAAAAAAAGGTCATGTCAACATAGGTCCGGAAACACTTTCTTTCCGAAACATAAACACTTTTTTTTTATCTTTTTATGATAGAGTACTGTAGGAATGTTTGAAGCTCAGTCAACACGTTTCGTAGAGATATAAACCCTCTTGTCGCATAGTCGTAGTATAACTTTTCGAGAATAAATCAGACGGATTCTCGCTCTTTTCTTTTTCTTTTGGTGATTGTTATAAGCCGATTCTCGATCGTCTTATACTAGTAATTAAAACTGAAAGACGTATTTTACCTCAACATTGGACCTGATAAAAAAGAATCGCAATGGAATCTGCATGTGTACAAATAAAAGAGAAACATTTATGCATTCTAGCAACGTAAATGTATCATGTATTCGCGTGCAATCTTACGTTCATACGATAAAAATTGACAAATCGGGGAATAATAAGTATAACAGCATTTTTTTATACTTTGACCGGCGAGGTGAAGTTGTTATAAAAGGGATTAGAATCAAACACACGGGAGTGTATTATGATACAATAATCTTTTATTAAATTTCACCTACAAACAACGAATCACAGAACGTTACATTAGAGTTCCTTACGTCAATCCATCGTGTCTTCATATATTTTACAGGTAAATAATTATGTATTTATTTATCTCTATTACAGTAAAGTCTTATTTGTTAAAATATCTCGTAGTGTAGTGGATTGTTATGTATATGTAAATTTAATTTACCTAAAAATAGGATTTCTGTTGTAGTGTCCATTCATTGTTTATAAGTGTCTGTTATCGTGTATAGAAGTGGTATACTATAGGTACTTGCTTTTTTGTCCATTGTACTCTGATATATCATCGTCTCTTCTCTTCTTTTTTATATATTATTATTATTATTATTAATAGTAATATTATCATTAATATTTCCCGCCGATACATTGTATTCGAAGTACGATAAAAGTCGCCACGTACGAAAGAACTTTTTCGCTGTGATAAAATTACAAAATTCAATTCTTCGCAAACGATGCTAGGTATATGTAAAGGGCTTTTAAGTACCTGGACAAAGTGACGGTATTCACGATACAAATCGCTAGAACTCTTTTTTTTCTTTATAATGCATCTTTTTTTTTGTTAGAAGGCAACCATCTTTGTTAATACGAGAAGGCAATTTGCTTTGTATCATCGGTATATATCTGGTGTCCCGAAAAACACTGATCGATCTGACAGCACTGTGTGTGTGTATGTGCTACCGTCTCGAGAGACAGATTTCGGGCTCGAGCGGTAAAATGCGGAGAGGGACCGTTTCTTTTTCTTTTATTTTCTTTTTCTTTAACAGGCATTATTGGCAGCGCTGGATCCACTGTTCAAATGTATACTGTATACACGTGTATTTTCTCATTTCTCCTCGGAGTTTGTCGCGCGCGGAAATCGGCCTTTGTGTGTGCACGACGCGCGGATATCTAACTACGCCTCCTTCCTCTCGTCTCATTCGTTCTTTTCCCGTCGTCGTCGTCCCCGCCCGTTCTCGACACCTCACGTAACGCGAGGATAAATCCCCCAATTAGCATTACACGTGGTATTCTCCCCTTATAAACGCATTCTCTTCTCAACGTTTTTCCTCTTGTATGTACAAAAAAACTTAGGACTACATAGGATACACTTGCACTCGCGCGCGCGTCACGTCCCGGGGCGCCAATAAGTTAAATTTTGCTCTAGAGTTATAATCGTTATATCGTTTATTACGCATCCCCGAGCATCGGCCGGGCGTCTTCTTCGGTTGTTACGTGCGACGTCTCGGATCAGTCTGAGAGCATTTTCAGCAAGAGACCGGCGAGATGTGTGCGTTACGACTGCGCGACTAAGAGGACTCGCACGCGATCGGCATACGGTTTTCGCGCGCTTATCCGATCGCGATTTATCGCGTACAACGTATAAAAGGAAATAGTAAAGTTTTGAAAGGGGGAGACGTCGCACGAGACGGTCAAGCAGCTCCCTTCGTCAGCGCCGACCGACGTGACGGCAAATCTCATAGAGACACATCAACTCGCTCCATTTACTATATAACATACAATATATATATATTTATATAATATATATATAATATTCAATAATATATATATATATATATACTTCTTCTTACTAAAGATATTCTTTATAACTATATACAAGAGAGATATATAATGTTTGTCTCGATAATCTTTACGAATTAGTAACACTAGGTTTGCTCTAAACAATATGCTTGGACCTCGTGTGTATGTATATATGTGTGTGTGTGTGTGTGTGCACGTACGTGCGCGCATGTGTGTGTGTACAGTACTTATGTACGTGTATTAGCCAGCACCTTGCGTTGTCGAACCCTCAGCTCTCGCAATATCGAAAGGGCCAATCCCTCCCGCCTTATACTTAAAAAAATATAGTGCGTACCCCCTCCCTGAGCTCGCTCCATAAAACTTCGAGAGACGCCTCTCGTCCTCTTTCTCTCTCTCTCTCTCTCTCTCTCTCTCTCTCTCTCTCTCTCTCTCTCTCTCTCTCTCTCTCTCGTCCGTGCCACCTCTCCTCTTCTCTCATCTCGATTCCGTAATCCCTTCTCACAGCCCTCGTTTCGTTACATATCGTTTCTTTTTTTTCTTCCTCCTCGTGTGCTTCCTCCTCCTCCTCTTTTTCTTCTTCTTCGTTTTTTTCCCTTTTACTTTTTAGACTTTGCTTCCGTAATACGTTTTCCGCTCGCGAGTCAACGCGCGTAACAATTTCCTTAGGTAACATATATAAACGTCTAATATACAATAAATAATTTATCCGCGCGCTCTCTCGAATATACAATTTTCTTTTATTTTCGCTTTCGCCACAATGATCTATGCTTAAATAATTTGTCCACGGTGCCCTGCCACGTGAAAAAGGTACACCCGATATATAAACTTGCTCCTTGATATTAAGAACTAAATTTTGTACAAATTTCGGCGCGAGCACGCCCGATTGCGCGCCAAACGAGCAAGGCGCCAATATTTCTTCTGCGATCATTTATGGTCAGCAAGATGAAAGATAACAGAGTCCGCTGCCAAAAAGAATATCGTTTCTGAAAATCAGGGAATTTTTGCACATGCTGCTGCCACCATTAATGGATAAAGAAAAGAAAAACCTGCTACGTGGTAGGAGATTTACATTTATTAAAGAAGTCAAGAAAGTAAAGACTAAAAATCGTATCTGTCAAAAAAAGCAGAGAGAATATAGATCTCCCGTTAAATCCAGAAAGGTTATATTTGGAAAAGGTTGTACAGACTACTCGGGAGGAAAGAATAAAAATCAAAGGTGAGGATTTCCATTCACATCTGGTCATTCATAGTGGAAACTGCCGTAAGGTGTTGACCGAAAGACAACGCATCGACGACGCGTTTGATGAAAATGGGACATTTAAAGATCGTACGAAGGAGCAAAACGAAAGACTGGAAAACTCGTGCATGAGGGGACGTTAAGAGAGAAGCAAGGGCACTTATTGAAGTGCTGTGCAGGATATGATTGAAGGCGACAGCAACGGCATAAATAATTCATTGGCCGCAGCCCGCTGCAGCCCGCGCGGTCCTGTTCCCGTCCTGCGAGCGGCATTTGGTGTGCGCGCTCGCGGGAGAAGGACAGACCGCAGGAAGAGGACGAGGTACTCGGTCGAGACCACCTTCGACGACGTTGTCATACGGCGCCTTATAATATAATTACATTTACATAGGTATAATATACAAGGAACAAACGAAGCCAGAGAACAAGAGAGAAATGGAAAGACAAAGAGAGAGAGAGAGAGAGAGAGAGAGAGAGAGAGAGAGAGAGGGGGGGGGGGGACAGACAGACAGACAAAGAGGAAAGGAGAAAGAGAGAGGGGGAGAGAGAGAACGCATTTTACAAAGTCTGGGGGGTGTGCCAGGTCGGCGCGTCTCGGCGGGTAAAGTCGTCGTCGCTCGACGACGATCTCTCGCCGCGCGGTTGAGACTCCGCGACGAAGCCGCGACGGAGCCGCGTCGGCGGCAGTGGTGGCGACCGACGCAGTAAGCGCGAGACTCGCGCCGAGACGCCACATTGTTGCTGCTGCTGCTGCTGCTGCTGTTGCTGTCGCAGTCGCAGTCGCAGTCGCTGCTCCTCCTCGTGGTCACCCGCGGGACGGGTCGGCCCCCTGTCTCATGCGCCCGTACAATCGATCTCGACAATGTCCTTGGGCACGTCGACGAACTGATACACCAGACGCTGGCCGTCCACCTTGGCGAGGATACCGCGCTGGTAGTAATAGCGTAACGCTCTGCCCATCGTCTCGTAATTCATATCCGGCTTATTTTTGTGCAGACCCCAGAGCCGCGACACCGCCTTGCTGTCCACCAGCTTGAAGACGCCCCGCTCGCGATTCGTCCACTTGATGTAGCGCGGGCAGAACTCCCGGTCCTGCAGCAGCTTCAGCAGGAACTCCCACAGATAAGTGGTCGAGCCCTCGCGCGACTTCCGCTTCACCGCGGCGCCGCCACCGCCGCCGCCGCCGCCGCCGCCCGCCTCGCCTTGCCGCGGCTTCTTCAGCTTGCTCTTCTTCGTACGCGGCGGGAAGCCCAGATCGAGAAGGTAGAGGTCGTCCGAGACCGAGCTGGTGGCCGCCTGGATCACGCTGGTGGGTACGCCGCCGGGCCCCCGCGGCGGACTCGGGGTGCAGGGGGTTGCGAACTGACTGGCTCCGCCGTACATGGAGTTCACGTAACTGCTGTAGCTCTCGGACACTGGGAGCAACAGAGAGAAAAGAGCGAAATTAGAAGTGTTCGCGTTGGAAAATCTCGCGCATAATCTGCGGAGCCTGGGAAGCTTCTCCCGAGCAAATCTCGCGCGCTCGCGGGAGTGTTCGATTCGTGTCTGGAGTAATCCGTACGATTGGACGTTTCAGTCGATTTCTCGGAAACTTTGTTGTTTTCAGCGAGGAAAGTGGGGCGAATTTGTCCTCGCGGCATGGCGAGGTTGTATCGGATTCTCGTTCCTCGGTTCCGGGAAACAGCGTTCGCTCGATTACTCAGAGCGGAAGTTTTATAATAATTTTATAATAATCCTGTCTGTATTGCGGACAAAAGTTTGAGCAACCCGCTATTCGCTCCACTTTTTCAGCGCGGTTTTACCTGAAGAATTTAGCGAATATATGTATATGTAATAATTAAGCACACACACATACACTCATATATAGCGCACGCGCGCGCTATAGCCTCCGCTTCCACGTTCAGCGAGTTCGCCTCGTTGCGCAAAACTTTCCTAATCTTTCACTCTCAATAGGTGATTATTTACGAACATTATAATTAACGAGATAACGTAATTGCACGAAAATTATCCGAGGGCGTCGATCTAGCGAGGGGCCGGTGGTTCAGAGTTTATCGACGTATCTTCCGACTCGCGAATACGCGCAGAGAGACCGGCGATTATCTTCCTGCCTTTTTCTCCTCTTTTTTTTTACAAAAGCGTTATTTATAGAGGAATATCGCCACCGCGCGACGACTGTATTCGTTTAATCGCGCATTCGCGTGTATCCGTGAGAGTTAGAAGGGAGCGCGACTCGCACGCGTGGACCATTCGGCGGGTGTTCGGCCGTGATAATCGTGTCGCAACGCGCTACGACAATGGGATCTATTTTATCGCGGCCGAATGATACGAAACGTGTAGAAACTGTTTCAGTATCGCGCGCGAGGCCCATAAATCAAGCGCTCCTCCCGCGGTACCTCCTGCGGTAGACGCGCTTTAATCGCGCCCCGAACGAATCCTCGACGGCCACGAAGCGGCGTTATTATCTCGATTATTCGCGGCGGAGGGTCGAGTCAGCGCGAGTCTATCGAGTTAGTTTTCGCACCGCGCGCGGGGCGGTTAAGTACATACGTCGCAGTTGAACGTGCAATGAACTATTAATAGCCGTCGTTTGCCGAGCGAGAAAGAGGGAAAACTTCGTGGCCGTAGTCGTCGTGGTCGTCAACGTCGACGAGTGCCACCACGAACGACGGGTGTCGTTTCTGTCATCCGATTGATCGACGACTCGATATTCCCTTTCGATAGCCCCACCTTCGAAGGCTAAGAGGAGCGCTCATTTCCGATGCACGCTTCTACGGGGTTCTAGATTAAAAGGCGGGAAACCCGAGCGCGCGACGGTTTATCCTCGCCGGTTTATCCTCGTCGGTTTATCGGGTCGAATCTGCCGCGGCGAAGCTCGCGCGATTTCAGTCGCGTCGGCGGGGCGCAACACCGATCTCGCGCGATCTGAGCTTTATGCCGCGAGCGAAGGCTCTCCGTTTTATTCATGGGCGTAGAGAAGGCGCGCTCGCGGATCGCTGTTTCTCTCTCCTTCCTCCTCCTCCTCCTCCTCCTCCTTCTCCTCCTCCTCCTCCTCCTCCTCCTCCTCCTCCTCCTTGCTCCTTCACGAACAAGGGATTTTCTCGGTTTCGCAAAGTCGCGCGGAGTCTCCTAAAAAGCGTCGCCGAGTTTCGGCAACTTACTTACGAAAGTTTAATCAGTGAACGAAGGAGAGTAGGCGTGCGAGTTTAATAAACCGGAAAGTTTGATCACGCGAATCCGATCGCACGCCGACGTCTACGAGGTTTATCTCTCGGAAAGCGACTTTTGTTGAAGACAAAAAGGAGAACTGGTTTAATATTATACTCGGGCGAGGGTGTCGCCGACAGAAAATCGAAGTCGCGAGGAGAGCTTGGCCGCGCCAAACGTCCGCGAATATTTATCTTTGGCGGATACTCGTGGAAGATCTTTCGACATATATCTCACCGTGAGAGAGGGAGTGGCAGGGAGGGAAGAGAGAGAGAGAGACAGAGAGAGAGAGAGAGAGAGAGAAAGGGTGTTGCTTCACGCGCGAGGAACGACGGAGAAGAAAGAGCTTTGCGGCAACATCCTCTCCTGCCGCCGCCAGACTCCGATCCGAAGGACGCGACCGGGCGCGTTCGGGTGGTCCGCGCGCGTAGAAACCAGCAGAACTTTCGTAGATTCCGCATCTTCTCCTCTCGCGCGAGGCATACGGGCGAAGTTTCTTACGCCACCGCGCGACGTGTGATTGATGTTGGCTCACGCCGATGGAAGTCGCGCGTGCAATTCCGTGGCGAATCTCCGTGAACGTTCGCGCGACGGGAGGGACCGTGTCCTCAGCGAAGATATCGAGGGAATCGCAGAGACGACTTCGCGACTTGTTGCGAAAGAAATCATGTCTCCGACGTTGATGGAGCGAATGAGCAAACTAACGGCGGACAGACGCGGTGTTGTCACCGCACGCGCTCTCTCGGGAGGAGAAATAGAGAGAGAGAGAGAGAGAGAGAGAGAGAGAGAGGGGGGGGGAGAGAGAGACGCATGCATGCATGCATGCACGCATGCACGTATAAGATAGCGGTGTACCGAATTACGCGCGCTGGAAGAAAGCAAGAGTGTTTCGAAACCGCATTCGGCGGACTGATCCCGGCGACTTTTACGCCACTGAGAACGCGCACCGCAGAGAGCCGGTGTCACTGGGTAGCTCTGCCGCGGGGGGAAAAAATTCGCAGCATTTGATACACACGTACGCACGCGCGAGCGCGCTCGCGCGCTGGCACGCTGGCTGACGGTGTACCACATTATGCTGGAAGAAAGCAAAAGTTTCGAAGCTGCCACGAAGCAGAGAGAAGCGTTCCCCTTTACGTTACTGCTGGCCACGGGAGGAAGAGGAGACGGGTCGAGATAAAGAGACGAGGAGGGAAGGAGCGAGAGGGTTAAGCGCGGCGGCGAGCGGCTGAGGAAGAGGGGCACCGGCACGGGCACCGAGGGCAGGGACGGGAAGGGGCGGCGGGGGGAAGTCGGGGGAACTCTGCCTGCAGTATGATAGAGGACTGACCCGAGCCAAGGTTGCACGGGTGACGCCATCAAGCTACTAGTGCATAATAGCGCCGCTCGTTCTGAGGCCGCCGCGACTGCGCTAAAATCGGAACTCGTTCTCCGGCCCCTCGCGCTCCTCCGCCGCCACCGCCTCCTGCTGCTCCTCCGCCTCCTCCTCCTCCTCCTCCTCCTCCTCCTCATCCTCATTCTCGGCCTCCTTACCCTCCTCCACCCTGCTGTTCCTTCGCTTCCTTTCCCCTTCGTCGCATCAACTCTGTGTCTCTCTCTCTCTCTCTCTCTCTCTCTCTCTCGCTCGCTCTCTCTATCTCGCTCTTTCTCGTCTTCCCCTTCTCGTCCCTCCTTCTCCCGCTGCCACCCTGCCTGCATCCTTCTTTCGCGCTGTGCGTTGCAGTTCCGTGGAGGCTCGCGCGCGGTTGAACGATTCTTCGGGCTCTATTCGAGGTTTTCTGGTTTGGAGCGATAAGATGAGAAGAGGAGGAGAAAGAGGAGGAGGAGGAGGCGAGACGAGAGAGAAAGAGAGAGGGAGAGAATGAGAACGAGATAAAGAAGGGGAAGGAAAGACAGAGAAATATTTATTTAACGTCCCGAGGCGGTATCTCCTGCCGGCGATAGAGCGGCGAATTACAAGCAGTTGTATACGCGGAATAATGGCATTCGGTATAAACGTACGTCTCTCTGAGACGCGTACGAAATTCGACGGAAGTAATTAGGGACCAGCACGGAACGGGAATTTTCGAAAACGATACGTGCACATGCAGAGCGCATAACGCGGGGGAGAGAGAGAGAGAGAGAGAGAGAGAGAGAGAGAGAGAGAGAGAGAGAGAGAGAGAGAGACAAGATTTCGATAACCAAACTCCGCGATATAAATAGCGCGGGAGCTTCGCGAGACGAGGCAAATTTTGAAAGAGGAGGCAAGAAGGACGGGAACGCAAGGAGGACGGGAACGAAAAATGGAGGGCGGCGGCGGAGGGATTTTCGCCGGTGGCTCTAAAAATACAGAGAACGCACCGTTGTTCTCGGGAAGTGCGCGTACACGCGCGAGAGCATGAGAAGAAGCGGGTCGAAGAAAGAAGAGAGAGAGAGAGAGAGAGAGAGAGAAAAACCGCGAAGGTGGAAAGGAAACGGCGAGAAAGAGGAGTGCGAAAGAGAGAGGAGGAAGAGGCGGCGGAGAGTGCGAGAACAGCTGGAGCGGATCGTGTTTACGCGCGGTATGACTGGCTAGATGAGTCAATCGTAGACCCGTTGTCTAGGAGCCGCCGCAGTGGGGGAACTGCTCCTACTTCACTGACCTATACCACGGGCGTCGTATAGCGCAGGAAAGCACCGCTAGAGACGACGCATCGCCAGCCGATGAGTCTGGTGCGCCGCGCCGCGCCGAAGACCGGATAGAGAGAGAGAGAGAGAGAGAGAGAGAGAGAGAGAGAGAGAGAGAGAGAGAGAGAGACTCCTAGAAGTGTAGGAGAGTGTCTAGGATCGATCGGCGACGGGCGCGTGAATGGGATACGGATTCGAGTAATTCTCGTTCCGGGAGGACGTCGATGGGAAAAACTCAAGCGCGATGCAAATCGAATAATTCCGAGACGGGAAGTCGCGGCTTTCTGGAAGAGACGAGACGGAGATTCCTAGCTGTCTTGCGAACGACGATACGAAAATAGGAGAAACGAGGTTGCGAATGAGGTACCGGATTACCCAGGTTCTTGACGTGGAAAAGCTAGAAATCTCCAAGCTCTCGGCGCGGCGAGGGGGAAGGAGAGTTACGAATTTCGGATCTGCGCGAAATCGCAAGAAGCGAGAGCGATTCCGTGCGATATCGGCGATTTTTAATTTCACACGTCGGACGTCGCGCGTCTCTGAGCTCGAGAATGCGCAGATGCAAAATCTA